TATAATTTTTTTATTAATATAAATTATATATATTTAAGATAAATAAGAAACTAATAAAATATATATTCTTCGCAGAAATATATATTTTTAATATAATGAGAATCTTATTACATAAAAAATCTATAATGGTTGAACTTTTCTAAATTAACCTACAAAATCAGTTTTAGTTAATTTTAAGTTCTAGCAATAACACGCAAAACACATAGAAAGTTGAATATATCGTCGACAGTAAGACTTAAAAAAGCATTTGCTAAACGTGAGATAGAAATCCACTCACGTGCTCGCTTTAAAATCGGCGTCATAAAATTAATGTGCGATAGAAATTTGTCGCGATGCACGATTGCAAAGTAATTTCAGATCATTAGCGTAGGATAACAAAATAGCATTGCCAATTAAGTTTCATCTCTCATTAGACGACATGCAAATAGTGCAATCATGCAAGCTAGGAAAAACCACAAGATCGTAATATCGCTATCGGTACTCACATTTTTCAAGATCGTGCTGAATTGTTGTTTTCTTGCCAAGTCGCAGGTAACGCCGGTGCAGCTGCGGTTAAATAATCTAGCGGCGGTCAACATTTTGGCCTTTTTTCGATAGAATTTCGGCAAAACTCAGTCGGAAACGCCGCGTGTCCAGCCTCACGTGTAATGATGCAACTCCTGAAAAAACCCGTAATATACGTACACCACGCGCGCATCTCATGGCGCATCCATTCCAACGACCGGACAATGGATATCAGCGTATTCACGAATCATCGTTTGCATTTTACTGCGGCTCCAATAGAATACACCAATGGCAAACGTCCACCGTCATCCTACCACTCCTAAATAGCGGAACTTCCCGAATGTTCTACCGAACGGTTAGGAAGGCCATGGTCCGATTCATGCTGCAATGAGCATCATTTGTCTTCGTTTAACATTTGACAAACAACAAGGATAAAATAATTTAAACGTGTGAATCGGACCGAAATCATACGTCGATTGACGTCAAATGCATTATCCAAAATTAAAAATGACATAACTATCTCTGGCAAAATGATGTAAATTATGCAAATTATTTTGTGTATCGCTGCAAGCGCCTAAGAATTAAATCGGGAAATTAAGAGAACTAAAGCCGGAACTCTTTATCAGTATATATAAGTATGGATTTCCGGGTTTCAAAACAAGTCAATGTTCAATCTAATGTAATATATAAATATATGATGCAATCGAATAATAGAATTGTCACAAATAAGAAAATGAGAAAATGAGCTAACATAGGATAGGATGGAATCTCTTTAATAATTTTTATTTATATTTATTGGTACAAGATAACCATTAATTAGGATTATGTTGAAC